AACCACTTTGGTTTTCCCCCCCCCCCCCTTTCTTTCCCCCCTTCAACAAATTTTTTTCCCGGTGGGTTGTTTTTTTGGGGGGAGAAAAAAGTATTTTTCTTTCAGCCATCTGGCAACCCTAGTTCTGACTCCTTCTGGCTCCTTTGAAATTCTCGGCAGATCTCAGTGGTATCAGTAATTCCAGAGAGGAATATAGAGAATCCTAAACTCAGGTCTTGGAGACCAAGACAGAGGAACTGTTGTTTTCTAAGTACTTTTTACGACCTTGTTGTTGGGCTGCATTTTACCCTCTATGTGATTTTCAGCCATCTGGCAACCCTAGTTCTGACTCCTTCTGGCTCCTTTGAAATTCTCGGCAGATCTCAGTGGTATCAGTAATTCCAGAGAGGAATATAGAGAATCCTAAACTCAGGTCTTGGAGACCAAGACAGAGGAACTGTTGTTTTCTAAGTACTTTTTACGACCTTGTTGTTGGGCTGCATTTTACCCTCTATGTGATAACTGAATGAGGCAGCATTCTTTGAAAAGCTTATCTTCCAGTTGGCATTTTATATTTACTCAAGAAAATATAAAATTGAGATTTCCATATGGCATTTTATATTTTCTCAAGAAAAAGACTGATCAGAATCAACTTCCAGCTTTAAAATATTTTCCGCAGAACCTGCATATAACTCTGCAGGCACTATTAAAAAACCTCTCAGAGAAACAGTATTTATTTTATGTGTCATGTTGCAATGCATTTCTGTTCTACTTTAACCTCATTTTCCTCTATTAATCTCTTTTTCTCTTTTTTATTTTCATTGACAGTGGTACAGTGGTGAAGGCTCGTGATAAGTACCGGCACCCAGAATGCTTTGTGTGCTCTGACTGCAATACCAACCTCAAACAAAAGGGCTACTTTTTTGTGGAGGGACAATTATACTGTGAAACTCATGCACGAGCCCGCATGAGGCCACCAGAAGGATATGAAGCAGTTACTGTTTATCCAAAGTGCTAGTCCTATACTAACAGACACACAGACATGCATGCTCGCCAAGATGTTAGCAGCTTAAAGCAGCAATACAACTGGTTGTACTGCCTTAATCCACAGTAGCCGCTTTTAAACATTTTCTTTTGGGGGCGGAAGTGACACAGCAGTGTCATTAACCAGCAATAACATATTTACCAGTAACATTTTGCAAAGTAATTATCTTTGAAGCTGTCAGTATAATTTAATTAAATAAGACAATTAACATTTTGTATGGCATATTATACTGGATAAAATAATTTGAAAGAGTTGAATGCTTGCATAGCAAATACAATACATAGAATTGTGAAATTAAGGTATTTTTGTTTAGAACTTGTTTCAACATAAACTACATTTTTGCACAAAATCTTAGTAACTATGAGTGATTCTGAGATGGTCTGAGCACCAGCAACTCCCACTACTCAATCCCTCAAAGAGTAAAAAAACCCAGGAATTTTACACATATACTACCAAACTGCAGTTATCTATGTCTGCTTCAGCCATAAAATCATTAAACTATTGTTACTGTGTTACACAATAATAGGTTTTGTTTTCCTTGCTTTGATATTTGAGAGTCTATTTACACTTCCTGGTACAACTAATGTAACAAAAAAACTGATGTTATTTTTATATAATAAAAACATCAAGCACAATGATGCTTACTTAAAGTGGAGTAGAATCAATGTCCCATATTATTTCAGTGAACTGCAAAGTATAAACTACAATGAGAATGAATCCTGCTTCACTTACTATGAAATTTTAGTGGAGGACGTGCGAACACAAACAGCAAAAATGGACAGGCATGATCATAATGAAATTAGCTTTGGTAAATTTAAAACTTTGGTAGCATTTATAATTACTGTGAATTAAAATATACCAATAAAACATCCTATACTAAACACTTGGTGAATGTCAAAGAAAATGTTCATCCTGAGTATTTTCTGAAATCCACTAAGAACCAAATTTTCAAATAGGTGCATGTCTATTTATGTATGCACTTTTGCTCATGCCAGATTTAGTCTTGCATTTCTTCCAATGTGCATGGCAAGTCTGAATCTTGTGTGCCTTCACTGGTATGTATAGGTAAACACCTCTACTCATGTGCTTCTGAAAAACTGTGTGCCTCCAACAGGTATTTATACAAGTCCATGAACACTTATATGCACACCTATGTGAAAAATTGAGTCTTACTGTTTACCATATCAAAACCATAGTAAATTGTTTATGATTATATTTAAAAGTAGGCTGTACAAATTTAACTCCCATAACAAGCATGCAAATCTAGCAGACATGAAAAACTGACTACAGAAAGCCCCTAAGTATTTTCCCATTTTATCATAGCAGCTTAAAACACGCAGAACACTGACTCAAACTAACATTATGCGTATGTTTTACACCAGTGGTCCCCAACCTTTTAGGGGGCGGGGACACTTTCAGACATCAAATATAATTACTTTTCCAAGCATCAGGAAGATTATATGCACTATTATATCCATTGATGAAATTCTCTGAAGTAAATCCACATTTTCTTTTGAAAGTGGGAAGGCAAGCAATGTATATAACTCTGAGAACCTTTAAATGTAATCTATGTTTTCAAATTAATGTTTGTTTTGTTCATTTCTTTATTACTAAAAACTGAAGAGAGAAATAAATCTATATAATGTTTGCCTTTGGTATGAAATGAGAGAAAGCATGCACTTCTCTCACTGGGGTATCAGAAGCATGGCATTTTCAACACTACAGCAGAGTTCACTTTAGGGATGTAAAATCCCATATAATCAGGTTAACCTACTAAGTGGGATCCTGGGGGGAACTGCTCCAGCCCCATGCTGGGGCAGGCTGCCTGCTGCCAGCTCCCAGCCCCCATGCTGTGGTTGGGGCTGCTGACAGCCTCTGCCAGAGCAGCTCCTGTTTTTTTTAAAGGGGTACTTTATAAAGAAAGGTTGAGAAACACCGAACTAGACGATTAACCAATAAGCGTAGGCTTATTGCATTCCCCCCACCCCGCTCCTTGCTGCCTCTGTATCAGAGGCAGCACAGGGAAGGGGGGAGCAGGATCTGGTGCGGAGGGAAGCTGGCTTAAAAGCCGGTTTCCCCCAGCACGGGCTCCACAGTGCCGTCTGCCCCTCCCCCTCCATGCTGCTTCCTCTGTCAGAGGCAGTAGTGGGGGGGGGGGCAGGGG